CTCCATTGCTCTCTCCATCTAAATACATTTAAATAACTAGAACTTTATAAATCATCCGATTGTGTCATTACTTTTCTTTTAATATCTAGATCAACGTACTAAAAAATGATATTGATATTCTTTTGACAATATTTTGGCTTTCAATTTACATGAAACATTTGAATGATGAAAAATGAGTTAAAATTATAACAAAATTTATAGTAACTAATCAAACAGCAAAATTTAGTCAATTTCATATGAAATTTTATATATAACATACATAAGTGACAAAATATATTATGAATGGTGTTGATTTTTAAAAGTAGTTTTTAAATTAATTTTATTAGAGTGTAATGGAGGGAGATTCTTTCTATTGTAATGGAAAGATGCTTAGCCTATTTATTTGTATTCTTTTCTTTTTGTGCCTTAGATCAGTGTGGTTGTTGGTTCCCTACGGCTATATTTTAGCACTAAGTGATCCCGAAACCGAATCCACTAGCTCAATGCCTCTTTAAAAAAAAAAGAAAAAAAATTCTCTAACCACTAATTACTCTCATGAGCCTGAGGGAGAGTTTGATAACTCCATTAAGCAATTAAACTTAATGCACGAAATCCTTTTCCTATTAAGCTTGTTTCATGGCATAATTTGTTTACATTTCAATATATTGTAACCTACTTAATGTGTATATAATATTTTAATGTGAAAGTTGTATCACTTGGTTGGTGAATTATTGAACTAGTGCAATAATCTTCGATCACAAAAATTATGTCAAACTTTTACATGTTTTCATACATATACACATAGTCCCTCTCACTCACCTGCACTTTTACACATTCTCTCTCTCCCTCTCTTTCCCTCTCTCGGATAAATAAGCACAATTATTTTCTTTAACGACATATGCTTTAAAACATAACCCCTCCTTCAGACACATAATATATATATATATATATATATATTTCTTTTCTTAGACACACATGTCCACACATGAAATACGTACTCTCTCTCACGCAAACACACGAAGGCACTTTCCATATTACGTCCTGTTGTCCGAGTGAAGATGGTGGAGTAGGCAGCGCCTCAAGATGAGCTGCCATTCTTTGCAGGTGCTCGGCATTCCTTTTGTTCTCCTTCTTACCCTTCTTCACTTTAGCCTCAATGCACATCAATTTGTCCAAAATCTTCTTCCATGGAGGCTGATTATCTACTGGCCGTGGAGGTGGTTGGAAAGATGAGGCTTGAGCCAGAATTGGTTGAGAAGTGGAAGCTCTTGCACCTTGTTCAGCTTGTTTTTGAGAGGGCTCCCCTTCTCCTCCTTGTTGTACTCCACTTGGCCCCTCACCTTGCACCAAGTTCCTTCCAAAATTGAATGAGATTTCCAATCTCTGGCATATAGGCATATCCAAAGCATTTGAGGAAGGAATAGGAGGAAGGGTGAGGTTGGTCAAATCCACTCCAGCCTTCTCAAAAGCTAAAGTGAGAAATCAGGCATATGGCAAAGCATGATGTGGATCTCTGCTGCTAACCACCATCTACATGTGGCTAATAACAATGCTTCCAACAAAATAGTCTTCCCCGGTTCCACCCTAGTGATCATCTTATCCAAGAAGCAAATATCACTCATGCGAGCCTCATTAGTTCCACTTGCCCTTGGAATGATGTTGGAAGAAAACAAGAACAAGATCAATCTATGCTTGGGTTGGAATGAAGAAGTAAGCATGGATTGCTTTCTGATCTTGCGAGTACTAGTGTATCCAGCTTCCATGATTTCTGATCTTGCGAGTACTAGTGTATCCAGCTTGTAAATGCCCAAGAGCTTCCACAATCCTCCAATCACTAGGAGGTGCGAAGGACTTCTTCAAATCGACAGGATCACCCTTCTTGGCTACCCCTAGCCAATCATGCAAGTTCACTTGATGGATATGAACTTCTTTCCCCTCGACTTTGCTTGTGATATCCTCAAGGCGAAGTGGATCAGATCGTTTGCCACACTATCGTATGCATGCTGTGACAGGGAATAGTGCCATCACTGAAGTTATTCAGGTTCATCTAAAAGCTAACTTTCCTTCGTTCAAGAAGTTGATTTGCCTGTGCTGGTATAGATGTTGAAAGATTAATTTGTATCTGAATACCTTTTGTTGTTTTATAGGCGTACGTAGCAGCATCCCATAATAGAAAGCTTGAACTCCCTGAGGACTAATCTACGTTGTATGAAATGAGTTTAGACAATGAAGCTGCAATACAATCAGAATTTCTCCCTCACAGTGCTGATTTCAAGTAATTTTTTTATCTTGATGCAAAATCTGGCTATAATCAGTTTTAAGCAACGCAACAGTATTTCCATTGATTGCTTCGTAACACCATTTTGGCCTACTTCTCCAGGTTCTTGGACAAAGCAGCCATCCAGCAATTCACAACAGAATCTGAAAAACCAAACCCTTGGAAGCTTTGCCGAGTCACTCACGTAGAAAATGCAAAGATTCTTCTGAAGATGCTTCCAATCTTTTGTTAGTACCATCATTATGACCCTTTGCCTTGCCCAACTCCAAACCTTTTGTGTCGAGCAAGGTGCCACCATGGACCCAAATATCACCAAACATTTTCAAGTACCACCAGCTTCTCTTCCCATCATCCCAGTCAGTTTCCTGATCATCCTTTTACCCTTCTATGATCAATTAATACTTCCATTTATCAGGAGATTCAATGGTCTCCCAACCGGCATAACTTGCAACGAGTAGGCATCGGCCAATGGCAGTTGCTGCACTGGTGGAAGTTAAGCGACAAAACATTGGCCGATCTCACAACATCCTTGATGCAATCCCAGCACTCCAGCCATTGCCCATCAATGTCTTTTGATTATCTTTTCAATACTTTATATTTGGGATAGCTGACATGTTTACGTACGTTGGACTTCTTGAATTCTTCTATTCCCAAACACCAAAAAAAAAAAAAAGTTAAAGCCCTTTCTTCCTGCTTCGTGTGGACCTCAATGGCCTTGGGGTATTACTTGAGCACCATAGTTGTCATGATAGTAAACCGTGCAACAAAGGGAATCACAAGAAGTGGAGGTTGGTTGGCATGGAAACAATCTTAACAAAAAGCATTTGAACCTCTTCTATTGGTTACTCTCAATATCATGCTTAATCAATTTTCTCATTTACTCGTTCTTTGCCATGAGATACAAGTACAGGCCACACACAGAGGATGTAGATGTTCCAGATGAGTCGAAGATACATCTGTTGAAGGCAGTTGACCCACATAATTAAATGGAATTCCAACAGAAACAAGGTCTCTCCAGTTGAGATCTATCCAATTCAAACCGTTTAATGTAATTTTTTACACATTTAATTTAAACTTGTACTACTTTGGTGTAATCATAAATTTTTCTTCAACTTATTTGTACGAGTTGATAAAATTTTATGATTACATCAAATTTATGCGAGTTTAAACCAAATGTTACAAGAATTACGTCAAATAGACAAAGTTGGGCAGAACAGGGTTCTTTGCATTGTTGAAATGCATTAAGTTTTCAATGAACATCGAAGGCGAAGTTGCTGCTTTCGACACACTCAGTTCTAGTAAAGCAATACTGTATTTCAGTTATCCATTGGCATTGTAATGATTAGTCACTTCAAAAGTAAAAAAATATGCTAATCAAAAGTCCTTTGGGTTTGGAAAAAAGAGTATTCATTTGCGATTTTTTCCTTTTCTAAAGTGGATCACTGTGGTTGTTCATACTTCATAGTGTTCCATATCTGTTCCTAGCGATAGGTTTTGGCCCTAAGTGAACCCAAATCCTACCCTCCCAGTTCGACATTCATTTCTACCCTTAAAAAAAAAAATAAAGAAATCCGATACTCATCCCTCTCAAGGGACTTGGAGAGGTACAGTTCTGTTATAGTATGCGGTTTAATGCGATTGTAATACTTGTTTTAGTATATAGTTTCCATTCACATTATATTATTATACACAATATATGTAGATTACGTTATTATTCATATACACTAATTTTTCAACAAATAGAACAACATAATATGATTATATACCAAATAATTTAACAAATATAATAAACTTATAGAGTTGACAAAAGCACAAGCATACTTCTAATCTCTTTCAAAGTTCCTCAGTGCCTTCAAAAAATAAAAGGGAAATTGAATTGATTAGAAATTTATTGCCTACTACTACTATGATTTAACCCAATTCTTGGACAATGAAAGGTTTATCCTACTAAATCATATGCTTTGAACTTTCAACAAACGTCTTTAGCCTACTGCCGCATGGTTTACCAAATAATGTGTGGTATGCAATAACAACTCTAATGTCCCATTTCCTTTGTCTGCTTTTAGACTATAAAGGGTCTTTTTTTTTTTGGATTAGCTGCCTATATATTGATAAAATAGTAATTTTTTTACACTAACAGATTTGAATATATACTACATATATATATGATTCAAATTTTAAATTTAAATTCACCTCATGTAATATGATTTAAATCTACTAATATATAAAAGATTATATATTAATAGTGTATAATAAATTATCCTTTTTCCCCGCTTATTTGGTTTGATGATGATTAAACGTCATAGGTCTTGACTTTTAACGAAAAATTAGGCTGAGCCACGGTAGACTACTGGACTTGGCTACTTTTTCTTTGTTCTTTTCAAATCAAACAGCAGACTTAGCTACTAGTGGCACAAGAAAGTAGAAGCCTGTGGCCGCCCACGTGTTCGTCAGAGGTTATCCGTTTTGCAGCCCGCGTCATTGACATAAGTTTCTACTTTTGTTTTTTTTTTTTTTTTTATAATAAATCGATGGTAGGGTACGTACATATTTTTCTTTTTTTTTTTTGGTTAAAATAGTGTTAGCATTTGATTGCTATCTTCACATGACAAACAAACTAAAAAATAAGGAAGCAGTAGTCATTGTCTAAAAGGATTTTTTTTTTTTTTTTTTTTACAAATGATAACAAATTTTTATAGATATTAACACTTGATATTACAAGAGTTAATTACAAAAAGGGTAACTACCCCGTATCCTTACTAGCTATCTGTGATAGCCATATTGGAAATGAATCTATCCATTCAAAATTTCGAACCGACCTAACTGCAAATTGAGCTAGTGCATGACTACAAACATTCACGGTTCTGAGAGCAAAAGAGAACAGACAGCTATCAAAGCTATTCTTTAGGGCCTCATTGTCTTCTAGGATTGTTTGAAGTTTACAATCCTGAACATTGCCCAAGTTAATGGAGCTCACAATATTCTTGCAGTCAGATTGGACTTCTATTTTTGTCCATCTTGCAAGCTGAGCCATCTCCAATGCGGCTCTGATGGCCAGTGATTCCTCTGTGGCCGCATCGCTTCTTCTTCTTCCTATGATCCCTTGAGCTTTCACAATCTGCCCATGCCAATTCCTTGCGATGATTCCCAATCCGGTCCTGACCATTCTAGCTGAATTTGCTACATCCGTGTTGATTCTCATAATACCTTTCTTGGGTGGCTCCCAATGCTACGGAACATGTACCTCCATTTCTGGTGAAGCATGTGTTTGGTGGTCTGTTTCATTAGCCGCAATATATTCCAGCCACTCCAGTTGAACTTTGTCGACAATAGCTTTTGCATCCACGTTCTCCATCTGGAACACCATTTTGTTCCTAGCTTTCCATAGCTGCCAAAGGACATTTACCGTGAGTTGGATGCGTTCAGCTCTATTCGCCTCCCCTGCTGAATCCATCACAGCTTCCCACCATCTCCACATATTGCATTGTAGCTCCATTAATCCTTCCCACCTCACAGGCGCTACCCTCCAGACTAGTTGGGCTTTGGAACAGAAAAAGAAAATGTGCTCGATTGTTTCAGTACCTTCCCCACAGCCATGACACCAGATACTTCGCTTTCCAATTCTGTGATGGATTGCTTCATTCGTGGCCAGCCCGTTTTGTAGGCATCTCCAAAGGAAATGCTTCAGCTTCAACTTAATATTCAAACTCCATAATTTTTTCCACACCGTATGCTTCCTAATCTCCCAACTGGTCTCAAAATTATGTACTAACCTATTGTCTATGTTATCCCTCCCCCCTTTTGCCACCACATAGCCTGTTTTCACAGTATATACACCCGACTTGCTATGATTTCAATACATTTTGTCCTTCCTTGGGTAGATACTGAGGGGAATGCTAGTTATGCGTTCCACATCTTCCTCCAGAAACCAGAGTTGTAGCAAATCTGTGTTCCACCTCCCTCCCTCTATTAGCTCGTGAACGGACTTTAGATGGCAGCCAACTGGATTTGCCGTAGACACTTTCCCATCCGGTGAATCAGGTACCCACTTGTCTTGCCAGATTTTGATAGACCTTCCGTCAGCCACTCGCTTATACAGACCCTGTAAGAGTAGCTCTCCCCCCCTTGTGCATACTTTTCCAACACCAAGATGCAGAATTAGGGCCTGTTGATGTAGCCAATCTTCATCCTTCATATACTTGGCTTTCAAAACCTTGCTTACTAACAAATTTGGATTGGTAATAACTCTCCAAATTTGTTTTGTAAGCAAGGCTAAATTGATACCACTATTTATGTAGTTTAAGGGAAGATTTGTTATTTATATAAATAAGATTGTTAATGGAGTTGGATTGGACCAACTTCGACCTGTTTGGTTCGAAATTGTGAAGACAAGCCTAGGTTCACTAGGTTTGGCCAGATTAAAGCCCGACCTAAATAATTTCTATATAGATATATTCATTGTACATATAATAATGTGCATAATTCAAAGTATTTTATATTAAAATGAATACAAATTATTTTTATACATAATTTTATAATTAATATATAATATAAAAAATTGTATATTATTTATGAGATTGGACCGAACTTGAACTATACGTAAAATCTTAATATAATTTTGAGCCAAGTACAAGTTTCATAGTGTGTGTGTGTGTATATATTTATACATAAGGGGGGTATTAGCCTTGCCTCTTTAGCAATTAAAGACTTTTTCCTAAAATACTAAAATTGTGGCTTATCAAGCCTAACAATTAAGGATGGAACTGGGGGATGGCCGGGTGGGTGGGGGGTGAGGAGTCTAACTTCTAGATACTCATATATTTTCCCCTTGCATTTTGAAAATTTCTTATGTCCTTGAGACCATGTGACACATTACAATGGAGAAAAATGTAATGCACTCCATGTGAGAGGGGGGGGGAGGGGGGAATTAAAAAAAACTATTATTCAAAAAATATAAAAAAATAGTTAAAGGTCCTAGGCATTTCTATATATTCCCTAACAACCCCTTCAGAGATGAGCAATCTTTTCAACTAAACCCTAGTTGACATTGTAAAACTATTTAGCAAATGAGTTTTTTGGGTGTTTGTCTAAAATTTTATTGTAACTTACTATCGAAATTGTAGGAAAAATTTTTGAAGTATGTAAATTTTTAATATTTTGAAATATACAATTTAAAATTTTTGAGAAATTTTTTAAGATTACAGTTTAAAATTTTTTTGAGAAAACAAGCCAACGTAACAATTTAGTATGCAAGAGCAAGAATGAACGCAATTCGAGCAGGAAAACCCTGAAATACATTACTACTCTACACAATCACACAGAAAAAAAAATGCAGAAGGAGAAATTAGGGTTTTCAGTGCAACTTAATCTAATGCTTATTGGGCGTTTTAGTTTGAAACCACTTGACACCCAAAAAGAAGAACAAATAATTCATTTTGGGTCTTTAGTGGCATTCAAATACAAGCACAAATGTGGTGGACATTCTCAGATTGTGCTGTTTCCCTCTTGCTTGTTGCTTCGTCAGGTCCCCTCTTTACATTGTATTGTGTTGGTGGGAATTTTTATTGAAAACTATGGGTGTTGACATTTTTGTTCCACTTTTTTCTATAATCAATATTTTGTTCAACTTTTTCTTAACTATTAAGATATTTTTCGATTGTGTATGGTACAAAATACGCTACAACTTTTTTTTTAAGCTCTATATCTCTTAACTTTAGAATTGTAGAATAGTCAAAGCCTCATGAATAATTTACTCTGCTTTGGACAATGAAGGACAGGAATTTGCTCACACATCTCCTTACTGGTGTATACCCTACTTTGGACAATGAAGGACAGGAATTTGCTCACACATCTCCTTACTGGTGTATACCCTACTTTGGACAATGAAGAACAGGAATTTGCCCATGAATGATTTATTGGTGTATACCCTACTATCTGCTTAAGTTGAATTGTTAGACTAGTTGCCTCAAAAAAAAAAAATTTTTTTTTATTAGATTAGTTTGTTTGGATAACATCTCCTGCGCCACCACCCGTAGAAATATTCTAAGAACATTACTGTACAAGATAAAGGAAAATTTAAACCATTCAAGATTCAACTTCATTTTTGCCCATACTCTACACACAGTACACGCTAAAGAAAAGTCCAAGATTGACTATTTAAAAAGAAAAAGAAACTGTTCTGAACCACAAATGATGATAGTTTCAGTTACGAGAACTAGTTAGTTTTTACTTTAGATAATTTGTTTATATATTGGATTAGAATGGAAATACTCTATATTGACCACTCCTTTGGTTTCCACTGCGGAATGACATTGACGACCATATGAGCCGTCAATGATTTTAGTGGGTTTATGTAATGTTCCCTTTGACAAAAACTGATATTCGGTAGTATTTGCAAAGAGGCAAAGGAAGTAAAATTGACGAGTCAATGAATGAAGAGGATAAGAAAGCCCTTGACGAAGAGGTAGAGTACACACTTTTCGTAGTTGCCCGGTAAAAATTCATCAATCATTATCTGTGTAACTAGTTTGAAAAATGCCATAACAAACTTTTGATTGCTTGTGGCATTGTGAATACACTCGTAACATATTTTGATAGCAACAAAACTTGCAAAATGTTTGAAGGCACTTAAAATAGTAGAAGAACTCTTGATCACTAACAAAGTTGGACTTGGGACAAAAACAATTTGTTCAGTCTGATTATTATATCCGTTACTCTTTTTTCTGTCCTATTAAAGGTATTATATTTTTTATTTGGAAATATTTCATAACATTTGTAATGTTACAAAATTCAAAACTATCTTTACTCTCTATTTTCAATATTGTCCCTACTTTTATTCATATGTATCTTACATTGAAATTTAAAATTTGAAATTTAGGAGACAAAATTAGAAAAAAAAGTACAAATATCATAATTAAAATATTATTTTAAAAAAGTTGGATTCTCAAAAACGATCAAAAATATGAGATGAAAGGAATATAACATTAGCGGTACAATTATGTTATATTATTTTACTGAAATTATACAAAGCATTTTATTATGTATACTACTTTTTGTACAAATACAATTGTATAATGTGACATGCAGCACATCAAATAATGGAATAAATATAGCAACTGGGCATGCACTTGTCCCAAATTCCCAAAAAAACTTATGAACGAATTTTTTAGATAAGGTCCATAAGGATGTCTATTATTGACAGCATGTTTCTGTCATAGACGCCATGCATGATTACTGCTTGATATAAGTCTAAACTTAAAGTAGAACGAAAACGATGGCCGCCCTCATCCGCACGCATGATTACAGCTCTTCCTTTCTCACGCAAAGTTCAAATAAGTAACTTATCATCACTCATAATTTGTTAGCCTTTTAAATATCCGTGCAATCAATTGGTTGAATGTCCCTAGTATATATCTCTAGGCAAACATCTATTGGAAGCCTGTGCCATTTTCCACCAAGTAAAATCATGGGAAACAGATGTTTCTTCTTTGCTGCTCTGTTCATGGCAAACTCCGTAACACTTATTCTAGCTACTACTCCAGCTCATAACCTCAGTACCGATGTATCTGCTCTTCTTGGCTTCAAAACCTTGATATCTTCCGACCCTTTTGGAGTCTTGGCCAGTTGGAATTCAAATAACTCTGTCTGCAATTGGTTTGGAGTCGCTTGTAATCATGTCAATAACCAGAGAGTCACCGTCTTGAATCTTTCTGACTCCAGCATTGGAGGATCTATAGGTCCCCAGTTGGGAGACCTCTCATTCTTGACTTCGTTAGATCTCAGCTACAACAACTTTACTGGATTCATCCCAACTGAATTGGCTAACTTGCATGCTCTAGAGGAGCTGAATTTGGGATACAACAATATATCTGGAAAGATCCCATCATGGCTTGGAGCCTTGCCAGGACTCCAGCTTCTACTTCTCAACAACAATAGTTTCGCAGGTGTGATCCCAGTTTCTTTGAGCAATATCTCAAAGTTGGAGACATTAAATCTGGAGTATAATCTTTTGGAGGGAAATATTCCACAAGGGATTGGTAATCTTTCGAATTTGAGGACATTAACACTAGGACATAACCTTCTTACTGGATCCTTACCTTCTAGCCTTTTCAACATGTCTTTCTTGGAAGAAGTTGATCTCTCTGGTAATAGTTTATCAGGCCATCTCCCATCGGATATCTGCAATGGTAACTCCAAACTCAAAGGGCTTCAACTGTCATCAAATTCTATTGAAGGTACAATTCCAGCATTCATATACAGGTGCAGGAACCTTGAGCTCTTATCACTGTCCTACAATCAATTTGATGGAAGCATACCTCGAACGCTTGGATACTTGACCAAGCTCAAGGATTTACATCTTGGGGGAAACAATTTTAGAGGTATGGACTCAATCTGCTTATAGTTTAATTGTATAATTATCCATAATAGGAAATATGCCTCCTTTGGTTTTCACTAAAGGGGAAAGTAAAAAGTGGATAGCTTTTCGGCTGTTTTGAG